AATACAAAGAAGTGAAGAAAAAATAGGAAATTAATGGAAGGAAAAAGAACGAGGAAAAGGGGGTGTGAGATACAAGGGATCCAGGATCTTCTCAAAGTGCAGCCCTTCCATTTTCTCAATCCCCTTCTTTTGAAAGAGGAGGTGAGAGACTAGATGAAATAATCAACATGGTGGGATCTAGCAAAGGTTTCTTGAGGAGAGGACATAAGAACATCTCTTTAAAGGATACTGGGAAGACCCTCTTCCTCAAAGATAAGCATGGACCTAGTTCACAGGTGGTCACATTTACATCCCAAGGACTCTGTCAAGTTCCTTGGGATCAACCGGATCAAACTGTTCCTAGATAACTGCATAGGTCCTTTCCCCAGCCATCTCTCTAGAACCTACACCATGCTTGGCCACCAACAGAGAACAGACCCAAGCAATTTTAACAACCAGATGCACAGAGAATTCTGCTGTGAGTCCTGAAGGAAAACCGACATGTGACCCTTACCCAGAAGGTTCTGTGTAATCTTTAAAAAGATTATGGAGTGTCACCCAGCGCTATAAGAAGTGCAATAAGAATGGAGAAATATTGACATTTTGTGGCTTTTACTGCCATGAGGTAGGCCTTATAGAAGCTGTAGCTCAGATAGGTCAAATACAAGGCCCATCCCACCTCGATACAAGTGCAGGAAGTGGTGAGACCGCGGGGGCCAATGTTGTCTGAGAATAGCCACAGCCTGCTGTGCACACTGGGACTCTGCAGCCCATGCAGCGCAGGTGGGTCCAAGCACTGGGACCACCAGGCTGGTCCTCCAAGGAACAGGTAGAGATAGAGGCATGTGATCTGGAATGCAGAGGGCCGGCAGCCACCTGCTCACCCACTCACCCTGTCCCACCATTTGTTTTTGATTGCCCATGGCCATCACAGCTGAGACCGGGCAGGTGGCCACGTGGTACCTTTGCAGGCCAATTCTCATTCTTACCTCCATGCATCTGCATCGACCTGCTGCTGGTGCTGCCATCATATGTCTCAGCCCGTGCCATCCAAATCTCCTCCTGCAGCTCCTCTGGACACATGGGACAAGGTTCCCACTCATCACCCCATCCACAATGTCCCCAGTTTATGGGAATGGTGGAGAGCCCCCATCCCTAAAAGGCAGCCAGGACTCCCTTCCCCACTCTGTTTGCTGAAGCCCAGCCCCAGAGTTGACCCACATGCTCTGCACCTATATATCTTGGTCTTCAGTCAGCCGGCAGTCAGCCAAAGTAGCCTGCAGTACTGCACTCTAACCACTGCACCACCATAGCTCATAAACCCCTTTTTCTATTGTCTCATTGAATGAAGTGGCCTCCATTGCTTTTAGGCAGGGCGGGAGATGTAAAATAATATTCAGAAGAGATTGTGAATGGTGAATGCTTGCTTCTGCTTTGAGAGAGGAAGTGGGTGAAGGTGCAAGGCAGAGTCTGCAACTTTTCCCAACTTAACAGACCAGTGGAGGTGGCAGTGGTGGCTTACGGGGGGAGGGGCGGGGATTGTTTCATGCATGCATCGGTTTTACAAATGCAGCTGCACATGCTTCTTCACCCACCCCTTCTGTAGCCCGGTTCTGAATGGACCACGAGTCAGCACCCGTCCGTGGTCCCCGAGTTTGGGACCCCTGGTGTAAGGGATCAGAAACAGAGGTGATATTCACCTGAACCATAGTGGAAATCGCGAGTAGCCCTGTCCACCCACCCAGGCTCTATGGCACCCCATTTAGGACCTTTTTTGCCAAAAGAGCATTCATAGAAGGCTGAGTGCATACATGGAGTGTGCTTACATTTGCGAACTTGTAGTGAAGGTAAGTGAATACAACCCCTTCTAAGAAAGGAGCTGATTCTCCTAAGTTGAGAACAGCCTGTTACATGAATTGAAGGACCGAATAACCAGCACAGGGAAGGAAAAAAGAAGGGAAAAAAGAGAGAGAAAGACAATAAAAGGCAGTCAAGTGGGCACTTCTAATTGTAAAGCCCTTCACCACTTCCTTTCATCTGTCATCCCCATCCTCTAATACTATCCATCTTTTGGAACTGCTAAGT